AACTTTTGGCTTATGTTTTTCGAATATAATTGTGTTTCACTAGATTTTTCCTTTTTATTTTAATCCTTGAATGTTTGAAGTATTGAGTTTTTATTCTTATTTTGTCTACCATAATGGAGCCTCGGGGTACAATAAGTTTTTAACTGAAAGGCTCAAGCAGGGTAGTGTGTCCCCTAGAAGTACTGTTTTAGCAGATATGGTAATTTTTGAAATTTCGTTTGGTTTGACTTCTTATTTTTTTAAATTGTGTACGAAAGACAATTTGGGTTTTACGCTACTTTTAACGCTTTTCCATTTTGACTTATTGTTTTTAAAATGTTGGTCTTCATTTTTGTTTAATTCCATTTTTTATACTTTTAATGTAACTGATCTGATCTTTAGATTTAACATTTTAAATTTGATCCTAAACTTCTTTTTGAATTTCAGAAGATTATGAAATTATTAACAAAGACTGCTGAATGGGAAACATGGTATGAAGGGCTACGCTAAATGAACTCATTGAATAATAAGGATATTGATTATGGTTATGATAATTGAAAGGAACAATATGATATGCCAGATACACTTTAAAGATGTTATCATNGAAATAGTAATGTAAAATTAATAAATTAATGTATATTAAATTAAAAAAATACAATAATTTCTTGAGATTTGTGTTATTTTTGAAAATACATCTTTTAGTTTAATTTTAAAAATTATTTTAAAAAATTTTTCTATTTACTTTTTAAAATTTACTACTAGTAGTTGATTTCCTTTTGAAATTTGTTGAGCTGAGAAACATAACTTTATATATGTTTATTTTTATCATTTAAAAAATCGTTCTATTTCAAAAAGTTAATTTTAGCGAGCGAGGCGACTTTTTATACACAGTTTCTTTCCGAGGTACTAGTGGGCCCAATAAGCTCGGATAATCGAGGTTCTACTGTATATATTTTGATTACATTATTTTTTAATGTGTATTTTTTTAAATAGATATATATTATTTGCAAAAGTATGCAAAAATATTTTTTTGCATACCTTTGCTTATAAGTATTGAGGTTCTTTAATGATTTACTCATGCCTTTTTCTGTTGCTCTTTAGTGAAGACAAAAATTACTCTTGAATATTTGAATTATCATACAGATATTCTTTGAATAACGCTTCACTGCCTTTCGCTGGTGTATTTAGTTTCAAAACTTTGTTGTTATAATAAAACACTAATGATTGTGAAAAATTCAACACTATGAAGGGATAGTCAGAAATTAATGAAATTTATTCCTTATATTATTGATAGTGGTTCAAGTAAGCGATCATATTTACAAAGCAAAAAGAAATCAGTATTTTATGCGCCACCCACGTTGAGCAATGAAATCCTGTACACGTCGTGGCATTGATTTAAACAGGTTTTGAATCTAATCTTGGTGAATGGCATTCCATTTTGCTTCAAATTGACTCCAAAGCGCAGTCTTAACTCCATAAGCTATACGAGTCGGAGGAGTTGATGATCAGAGGAATCCTTGCACGCAGTTGACGTTGCAGCAGATAGGGAGAAAAAGTCCAGCTAGACAGCAAAACACTTGCAGTCACGCTGTAACGTTTTGCTGACCCACTAGAATACGCTATACAGTCCGTCACAGTCATGCGGATGATGTGTTCCGAGCTATTGCGGTGCTCCACTGTAAGGGTTTTCGACTCGTTTGTTATCCCTGTGTTCATTTTTTCCCCCCAAACAAGCTTTACTGTTGTTGCATTACACGGCGTACGGGTTTCTCGATACAAAAATCCACCCTCTCGCATACCGACGATGTGGCCTCGTACAAACTCAATAAGTTGTTGATGTGACGCTTACCGCTTTTGCAAAGGCAAATTGACCTAAAATACATTCATCAAAAGTTTGGGAAACTCTGATTTACTGCAATAGAAATTGTTTGCTGTTCTTGTTTGCATATTGTTTATTAAACCATTTATTATTCAACTATTTCTTTACTTGGACTATTTATTATATATTTAAATGAATAAATTTATTAAACTCTGTATTAATTAATATTTATAATATGAATACCTGTCCTTCGCACAAGGTAAATCAGTATTTAGCAACACTACGAAGTCATGCTCAAAACTGAAAGACCTACAAGATTTGTGGCATTTTTGTGGGGAATCAGGAAAATTAACATAAAGTAAAGTGTGGTTTTTATTTTGCTTTCACTTTTAATCTTAACATAACAAATCCACATTCTGTATGCTCGTATGATTTTTTATTTTAAATTAGGCAGTGGTAAATAAAATAAGGCAAAGAATTGTTAGTCCCGACTTTAAATTGGTAATAAAATAGTTCGGGGACCTTTTTTTTTTTCGTTCCCTGATTATCGTCTCTCTAAAAGTGTTGCATATCTGGTTCTTCCACTAAATTTCAATTAATAAAGGTAAAATAATTCTTTTTTTTTTTTTACTTATCATTGTTTGTTGCCCTTTTCGATGGCTTTTAGTTATTAAATTAAGCAAAACTCGTGTTTTGTAGTTCATCCCATCAGAATAGAGCCTATATAAAATTTAGATAATAACTGTATATAAAATTTAGAAAGAAGTCCAGTTTGATTTGAATTTGTGCAGAATTTATCATATTTTTAATACAATTATAATTATGTGAAATGAAGATAAATATAGAGAAATGCACCCGCGAAAACAGAACACACATTAATAAACTATAGGGAGAAATTATTTTGTGAAAATTGAGCAATATTCTAATTAGCGATATTAGTTTCTACGATATTTTGTTATTATAATTTTGTAATATGAAATGAGTTCCGATTGCATTACATACATTAACGCCAGAATTTTAATAATGAGATCATGTGAAAAATGCTCCCATTCAGAAAGTGCTTAGATGTTTACTTTTAAACTAAATGAAGATAATTAACCACTAACATTTAAAAAGAAAATGTTTTAACTTAATTCCACACCCAATTAGAATTTTCTGTTTAGAATATTTTAATGTGGCTATAAATGATTTTCTTAACAAGGAATAAGGAAATCATGTTAATATCGCCTTTTAAATAAAAAAATATCGTCTTTCCTGAAAGGATGACTAGGCGTCGGAAGAAATCTGGAAATGGTTGCGGATTGGGTTAAAATTTGTCGCTTCTGGGTTACCACTTTTACGCCTAAACTTGAAAAAGATCAAATATTTATTATACCTGTATCGTTTACAACATAACGCGTTTTTTTTAACTTGATATGCCAACGAAACATAAGCGAATTTGAGAAACTCCGCAAGCAAGCTATACCCAGCAACCCAAAAACGGTGATATTTTGCATTAAATATAGCCAAATAGGGATAACTATCTCGTGATATTAATTTTCTGAAATTTGTGTTAGACTCACAACTAGTTAGAATTTATTAATTGCAAAAAATTTTTATGAATGGTAAATTTAAACACGAATAATAAACTCTTCCTAGAGCCTGTTCACTCTCATAAGCGGAGGGATACACCGAAAGTCTTCCGGTTTTGGGATAATCCTTTCTGCAAGATTTTCATTAAAGTCGAATTTTCACATTTCAATGATGTAGAATGTCAATTATGAAATTATTAATTTACTATTAGTCACAGAAATTAGTATTATAAAAGAAATGACTGTAAATTTTGTATATTAAAGAAAACTTTTATTACGTTACACTAAATTATTAAAAATTTATAATTCAATTGCTACAGATACAGATCCAATTTCGTGACTTAAAATTACTGATTCTAATTACATGGTGGTCACTCTTATTTTGTTTGGACGAGATTAAAGCAATTCTTTTCGACCAAATGTTAGCTTCGTATGTTGTTGAATTAATAAAGTCTTTATAGAAAACAATATTTATTGATAATATAAGTATACTCGTAGCTTACTACATCCACGTATCTACGTTCTACAAAATAATAATGTTTACATCACAAAATCGAAACTAAAACATAACCGCTGTTGCCATTCATAATTTTTACAATATATATGCGCTTACGGTGGGCCAAAGCGCTTACATTCGAACTAAATAATCGCTGTTGCCATTCGAAATTTACAATTGCGCTTACATTCGACCATCCTGACCTTTCAATTGAACTAAACTTTAAAATACATTACAATAAAATTAACTGGACTAAAAATATGAAATATTGATAAGTTTCTAACAGTTTATAAAATCATTATAAAGCAGTGGTCTACGTACAGTTCGTTTGGGCATTTGCCTTCTGGGTTCTTCATCAGAATCTTCGCTGAAATTATCATCATCTTCATTCCAGCTTCTCCAAGCTTTTAATTGACTGNTGTCGACGAAATGACCCTGTCGACGAAATGACTTGTCGACGAAATGACCCTGTCGACGAAATGGCCTGTCGACGAAACAACCCTGTCGAGGAAACGGCCTGTCGACGAAATGACCTAGTCGATGAAACGGCCTGTCGATGAAGTGGTGTCGATGAAATGGTGTGTCGATGAAGTGATTGTCGATGAAATGAATGCGACCCGCTTAAAATTAATAGTGTCTTTAACAATTTGAAAATAAAATAAATTAATAAATGTATCAAAAATATTAAACAAGCATCAATATGTTTATACTAACAATATATATTATATCACAAAATTGTTTGTATTACGCGTTGAAATAAATAAGTACATAAATTTTGTAATATAATTTATGTTATTAGCAGTTATTATAACCAACATCATTTTAGTTATTAAAAAACAAAGGAACATTTTATTTTTGTCCTTCACCAAATGTTACCTTAAAAACATATGCAAGAAAATCTAATGTCACACCCGTTCTCAATTTGATCATAAAGACAAAAAATTCCTGCAAAGGCGTGAATTCTTGAAGAGGACTTCTTCGTTCTTTGAAATTTAAAAAGTTAAAAATTTTGAAAAAAGTCTCGCTGTCAAATCCAGTAAAGGTGTTCAGTTCATCATTGGTCATCTCTTTAGGATTGAAATAGGCAGTTTGAATTTTTTTCACCATCTCTAACTCTTTAATTTTGAGATCAAGCTCATCGATGAGAGTACAAAACCCTATCAGTTTGTGTTGACTTGGACAAGGAAGTTGGCTCTGCTTCTGTATCCAAATCATCTTGTGTACTAAAATGAAATATATATACATTATAACCAATGTTAATGTTTAGGTGTGTAATGTTTACATATCTATATAGTAGTATCGCAATAATTTGAGTTTTGATTGTTTCAGTTTCCCATGAATTAAAGCTAGTGAGAAAAATCAGTTACCTCTCAAATAATTACCAAAACAATTTAAAGTAATTCTGCCTCTGATTTTTATTGTTGTTCAACCAGTCATCTTTAATTTATTCAATATTGGTAGGTGTACACTTTTCATGAAACACATTAAGATAAAATTAAAATGCTTTATTTTGAAATTTTAGGGTTTAGATAACTCGACGTTTTGATCGATCGAGGAAATTCGGTCCTATCCACCTTGAATTATTACTGTAAACATATATACACATTACTCTTTCCATGTTGTTCGAAAGTGTAAAAACAGCAGCTGTTATATATATTGTAGACTATTATTTAACTGGACAAGTTTTTAAGGTTCACAACAATGGAGAGTACATGCACATAAAAGTTTCACTTACCTGTTAACTGATGCACCAAAAGTGTATGATGTCGGCGCTCTAGTTCGCTTATTGGGTTTAAATTTAAAAAGGGACGGCACAGCATCTTTCTTTATTTTCTTTCTTTTAGTTTGAGGAGAGTTCCACAAATTTTGATAATCAAAACAATCAGGCGTAAAATGCTCTGAACACAATTTACTATGAACAGTTGGTTCAAAATGTTGTCGCTTCAAAGCAACAACCCACGCTCGCATTATAACTTTATCTTCCAAAGGAAATCTATGAGAAGATATTCCCTTTTCAATACATTCAGGCTTTGCTGAATTGTTTGTACACCCATAAGCACAACAATTATGAGGCATTGTTACATATTTAATTAAAAGTCGGGAGAAATTATTCTAAGTCCCATTGACTTAACATTACGCCGCCATCTTGTTTATACCCAAACAGCTGATTTCAGTGGTGTTCTTCTTCTCGAGTTGAGAGTATCCCATTGAACTAAACTTTAAAATACATTACAATAAAATTAACTGGACTAAAAATATGAAATATTGATAAGCTTCTAACAGTTTATAAAATCATTATAAAGCAGTGGTCTACGTACAGTTCGTTTGGGCATTTGCCTTCTGGGTTCTTCATCAGAATCTTCGCTGAAATTATCATCTTCATTCCAGCTTCTCCAAGCTTTTAATTGACTGACATGAGCCGTTGTGGCATATAGGTGGCCATCGTTAGCCTCTAATTGAGAGATTCTACCTGTATCGCTAGGAAGTACTTCTGTGACAACCATAGGTCCTCGATACCGTGGTTGAGTTTTCGTTGACTCCCCTATCGCCCTTGGATGTCTTCTGATTACAACGATTTCGCCCTTGTCAAACGCTAGTGTTCCAGATTTCTTTTTGTCATAATGCGCTTTAACTATCTCTTGCTCTTTTTCGATTTTTTCTTCTGTTTCGAGTTGTAGCTTCCTTGGATCATTCCATTTTCAACCTCTTCATCAGCAAACAACCTTATAATTCCATCCTTAAATCTTGGTATATAGCCATGAAGAATTTCAAAAGGTGTTTTTCCAAGAGTTTTGTTCACGATGTTGTTCAAGTTTCGTTCGACTTCCTTAATCCTACTGTCGCAATCCTTTTGATCAGCTTTTTCGATCGACGTAACTATAGTGGACAATATTGTTCGATTTGTTCTCTCAACCATTCCATTTGCTTGAGGATGGGAGGTAGAATTCAATGTGTGCAAGATGCCATTTTCGTTGCAATATCTCTGAAAATCCAGTGAAGTGAAACAGAAACCTCTATCCCAGTGGTTCCCAACCTTTTGTGGACAATCGCCCCCCTCTTGGGGTTGGCTGACACACATCGCCTCTTTCTCTTTTTGCTCAAAAACCATTCATTGCTACCCGTGAGCAACCAAACGCTAAGTTATATTTGATTTTAATTTAAATTGTAATGCAAATAAAGAGGCAATTTTATCCTGCCATTTTTATTAATTAAAAAGAAATTGTACATCTTTTTTTTTTCAAAAAGAAATGATATTTAAAACGGAATAATCAAAACATAAGTACATTTTTTAAAATTCATATTTTAATGTAATCAAGAAAAAGTTAAAACGTTAGCAACTAAAATTTGAGAAAAAAATGAAGAGTGAGAAAGTACTTTTTTACCACTTCAATGACTGCCCTGTGCTTAGTGTATTTCAGTAAAAGCTTGAATGTCAGGTTTTATGTTCGTCAGATTTAAACGCGGGTCGCAGGTCGCAGGCCTCCTTTGAAGCAAATGTCCAACCTATCTTTGCTTTGTGAGGAGCTGGACGACAGAACTAAAACCTCTCTCCACTAAATATGTTGACGGTAACGAGATGAGGAGCGGCTCAGTTTGTTTCCACAATTGTGGATAAGTGTCCATAAGCTTTACCCAAGCTAACTCGTAACCGTATTTTTTAAAGACGACCTTAGCATACTTCAAATCTAAAAACTCAATCTGTAAAGAGGAAATGAGCTTATCCACAACTTCAAAAGAGAAAGGATCGAAAATCCAATCCGGAATTTCTAATTTCATCAAATCTTTAAATCTTGATTCCATATCAGTTTTTAACTGATCAAGGTAATCAGTAAAAATTAAGCTTTTATTTTTTAACACTTTCTAAGAGTTGGAAATTGCATTAGCTCTTTGCGATGGCCTTGATAATGTTCACTTTATTTCCTTGAAGTTTTACCTTGATTTTGTACATTTTTTCAAAAATATCCCGTGAGGTACGCAGTTTCCAGCTTGCGTTGCTTCAAACTCTCACTTAAAACAGGATCAGTGGTGTCGAAAAACTCAGTAACCGAGTCAAACAATTCGAAAAAACGACGCAAACAGTTTCCTTTTGAAAGCCATCTCACATATGCAGATAGGAGCAAGCTTTCGAAATCTTCATCATTTTCACGGCAAAGTTCTCGGAACAAACGGTCATTGAGAGAATTAGCTTTGATTTTATTGATGCCAGAAATAACGAATTGTAAAGTGTCATGCAGGGCACCACTCAACTTTTTTGCAGCCAAATGTTGACGATGAATGACACAATGAATGGTGATGACCTCCGGTACTTTTTTTTAAGGTGCGCTAGAAGCCCAGTATAGCGACCAGACATGGCAGGAGCACCATCTGTTGCCCAAGCACTTACATTTGTAAGGGGAATTCCTTTTTCCACAAAATAGTCTTTGATCAATTTAAAAATCTACGACCATTTTGTATCAGTGATCAAAGTTCTTGTAAACAACATTTCCTCGTTCATCCAATCTCCTTACTCTCATTTATGAATCTCACGTAAGCTATTACAATAGCTTTGTTATCTATCACAGTTGAGTCATCAATCTGCAACGCAAATTTACCTTCTCTCTTAAATTTAACGAGTTTTGATTCAACGTCTGCACCCATCTCATCAATAAGCCTGGAAACAGTATTATTGCTCAGAGGTTTTATATTATTGCTCGATCCCTCACCCCACATGATTTCAACAATTTTTTTAGTAGCAGGTAAAATAAGAGTTCACCAAATGTGTGAGGTTTAGAGTTATATAAATATTTCGTCTATCAATCCGTTTCTCCTATTACATGCCTTTTAAAATCGGAGGGATGGGAATGAGACGAGAGAGGAACATTTGAGGAGAAGAAGATATATAAAAGATCATGACTTTCAACAAAAGAGAATTCTTGAAGGTCAGATTTCCGCCAGCGATACCAAAACGTATGACGAAAACGATCCTGAACTTGAAATTTTTTAATTTTTAACTATTGTAATTCTTTGTCTACACCAGAACCATAAGCTTCATATATGTTTTCAATTTTGATCTCAAATAGCTTTTGTCATTAATATTATTAGCAATTTTTATCTTTTGAATACTCGTCGCCCCCCGATCGCCCCCCTAAGGATTATCGCCCCCATGAGGAGTTGAGGAGCTCTATCGCCCCCTTTGGGGCGATCGCCCCCAGGTTGGGAACCACTGGTCTATTTGAATATTTAAGATTACCTTTTGGCTGGAAGAATGCACCGAGCATATTTCAACGTACAGTTCGTAGAATTTTAAATAAACATAAAATTAAATTTGCTACAAACTACTTTGATGATATTGTGGTGATAGGTTCGCCGCTCATCGTAAAATCAAGTTTATTCCATATTGTTATCTGTTGTCTTTAATCAATTGTGTTTTTACTTACTTTTGAAGTGAACTGAAATAAGAGTTCTGACGTCATCATATTAGAATTGTATAAATACCAGCACGCACATGACAGCCTGTCAGTATTTCTCTCATCACCTGTTGTGATGATGCTTCTTGTAAATCAAACCAACTTGTATATAAATGTAAATATGTTAAATAAAATATTAGTATCTCGAAGGAGCTATCTTCGCTTACCTCAATGGTGACCCGGATGTCTGACGATACAAGTAACTTTTATTTTTGATCATTTCTGTTTTTGGTTCTTGGATTAATAGGAAACTGCAACTATGGCGGAATCATCTGCAGTAAAAATTCCCATCTTCAACATCTCTGATCCACACCTGCGGTTCCATATGGTCGAAGCAACTTTCCAGCTTGCGACACCGAAGCCGATTACAGAGAGCAAAACAAAGTTTGACTACTGCCTCGCCCATCTTCCTCCTGAAGTAGCCGCAGTTGTAAGGGACGTCATTATAACTCCTGACGTAGACGATCCTTTCAGAAAGCTGAAAGAAGAAATTATTGCACGCTGTGGGGAAACAAAGTCCCAGGAAATTCGACGTTTACTTTCCGGAGATCAACTAGGAGATAGAAAGCCTAGTGAACTGTTGCGCACTATGCAGAGAAGAGCTGAATCCCACGAAATCTCAGATTCTCTACTTTTGGAAGTATTTTTAAATCAGCTACCGCAGCATGTTCAGTCGATATTGGCCGCAATCCCTTCACTAAATTCAACAAGAGCTGCTGAAATCGCTGATAAAGTTATGGAAGTGTCAACTTCAAGTGAAGTTAGCGAAGTTTCTTCAAATCAACAATGCACCTTTGAGCTTTTAGAAGAAGTTAAAGCACTACGAAAAGAAGTAGCTGCATTGCGGACACGCAGTAGGTCTCGCAACCGGTACTATGCGCAGTTTCGTAATCGTCAAAGCCAATCCTCATCTCCATATCGAAACTCCAAAATGTGCTTCTATCATCGGAAATTTAAATCTGATGCTAGAAAGTGTGTCAAACCCTGCATCTACCAGAAAAACCAAGAAAGGCAAGAGTGAATGCGACTAACATCTGGCCTCCAACAAATTGTCGCCTTTTTGTTAGAGATAGACAATCCAACAAACAATTTCTAGTGGATACCGGAATTGACTGCTCAATTATTCCAGCAAATAAAAAAGAAAAAACTCTTTCTCCGATTCAGACTTTAGATTTCGGTCTTAGACGAAAGTTTAATTTTCCATTTTATATTTGTGATATAACTAATCATATTATAGGTGCAGATTTTTTATACTATTTTAATCTTAAACCTAATATTAGAAAACGTTGCTTAAATGATATTAGTACTAATTTAAATTCTCATTGTATTTTTAAAACTTCTGACATTATTTCAATTAAAACTGTTCTTGGTGAAAATTATTATGAAAAATTGTTAAACGAATATCCTGAAATAACGAAACCTATTTGCTCAGACCAAATTGTTAAGCATAATGTTGTACATCATATAGAAACTTTTGGTTCACCAGTTTTTCCTAAACCTCGGCGTCTAGCGCCCGATAGGCTAAAAATAGCAAAAATGGAATTTCAACATATGTTAGATTTAGGCCACATGCGCCCATCCAAAAGTAATTTTTCATCACCTTTACATTTAGTCCCCAAGAAAAATAGT